GGTCGAGCGCTGAACCTTCATCCCTGTGGTTTTCGCAGCAACCGGTGGTACTGGTCGAGCTGCTGCCGCTCTCCTCAAGAGAATAGCTGCTATGGTCAGTCTCCGATAAATCTGGTGAGCCATACTCTGCAGTGATGGCATGGATCCGCTGCAGCCAGTGCAGGTTCAGCTTTGCCCTTCTTCGTGCCAGCGTGGCTTGCCTGCGTGGTGCTCGACGGCTGTATTCTGGTATTCGCACCCGGAGGTGGCTGAGTCATCCGCTCGCCTCGCTGTCTCGGAAGCTGCCACACAGCACTATGTATAGGATATTGCACGGTTCCGAGGGGATTATTTTTCAAATCCCCAAGGCGCGCAGCGCCGCGGGGATTATGAAAAAATAATCCTCGCGGACACTGTGCAATATCCTGTTTATACCACACTGTTCCGGTGATCAGCAGCGCTGCATGCAGCATGAACCAGTGCACTGTGAACGGAACACCGAACGCGAAGTACCGGTAGTTCTGATATAGTCGTTTGTTCGTCGCCTCTCCAGGTTTTGATCCACTTATTGGTTTGACTGAGGTGAATGCGGATTGTCACACACTTTCTTTGGTTTGTCTCCCAAGACGAAGCCTCATGAACTCTGCTGCTTGTTGGTAGTTGACAAGACCGTGGGGAAAAGCGATACTGATAGCGATCAAGTGAAAACGACGAAATAGTAGATATTGTAATTATTTGAAATAATTTGAGGTGCTCTGTTCGTCTGTCACCTACCGGCGTGGAGGCGATTTATTCCCTACAAATCAAGGACTACAATGAAGAATTGTCAGACACTGACGTCCGTCCCATGGCTTAGTCAAATGGTGTAAGAGTATCCGAAAATTAATAAGATGGATTGTTTGTGATCGTGTGGAACAAATTTGACAAGACCAGTAGAGCGTGAATGGGTACATCTACACGTACATGTAGAACCAGTGACATTGAGTTAGTAGTAGACTTCTGCAAAGATTTAACTTTCAGGTCTGTGAAAGAAGGAATTTTCCAAACACTGTACTAGAAACCAAAGTTTGCATTGAACAGCGATGCTCATTACTAGACGTCTTTATCATTTCGTTCAATGTTTCTATGACAACTCATGTGCTGGACGAACATTTGTTGTCATTGACTGAATTTCTTTTACTCTCCATAGGCTATTGGATTATTTTCCTTACTCCGTCTATTTATAACCAGTATCTATATGAGAGTGTGGTGTGTCTCTTTGGTTACCGGTGTTCGGCACACCCGGTTCATGTAGCATGTTGCAAATAAAGATGCTCTTGTTTGTTGCTGATAGAAAGATTGCCACTTCCCTAGTTTTGTTTCACCAATATGCTTTTCTTTTGACAACTATAGCCAGGTGTTCAC